GTTTGAAGTGATTTAAGGATTCGACTAAGTTTGTATAATATTTTAAGACTTGTTAATATATTTGGTTGAGGTCCCGAGGGCCTCGGGTGAGTTTCGGATGGTTAACGGATCAAAAATTGAACTACAACAGCTGCTGCAATTGCCTTATGTTGGAAATTTCTTCTGCCAGAATCGAGCCCAGAAAATCGAGCACAGGGTCGAGGGCCACGATTGAAGCCATGTTCGAGCCCAGGGTCGAGAGCCACGGTCGAAGGCAGGGTCGAAGCCACGATCGAGGCCCAGGATCGAGGCCCAGGATCGAGGCCTAGGATCGAGGACCAGGATCGAGGCCCAGGATCGAGGACCTCGATCAAAGGCCAAGATCGAGGCAGAACCGAGGTTGTCTGGGCAGAATTATAAAAACAGGGATTTCGTCCCATTCGCCATTTTTGACAAATTGGAGCTTGAGGAGAAGCGATTTTTGATATATTTTCAAGGAAAACTTGAGGTACGTCCCTTGTGATCATTGGTATGGGTAGACTCGTGGTTGAATGGGCTTTCGAATTTTATAACTTTTGTCGAGTTCCGAGACATGGGCCCCACGACCGATTTTTGAGCTAAAATTCGGAGTTTTATAGAAAATTAGCATTTTCTTATGGAATTAATTTCAATAAATTTTATTGACTGAAATGAATTATTTGTGACTAGATTCGAGGCATTCAGAGGCCGATTTGCGAGGCAAAGGCATAGCAGAGTAAAGAATTTCACGCTCTGAGGTAAGTAATAGTTTTAAATCTGGTCCTGAGGGTATGAACTCTGTTTTAAAAGGCATTTTTGGGGCGAGCCCCGGGGCAAGGCATACCAAAAACGCCCCGGGGCGAAAGTCTCAAGAGGCATACGCCCCGCAATTTGGGGCGTACGCCCGGGTGTTCGAGGCACGTTTTTTTAGTAAGGAGTAAGCCCCAGAGACTTTTTCAAATTAAAATAAATTTTGTTGAATTAGTCCTTCATATAATACCCAAATTCTCAAAAGTCAGTTTGGTAATTACTCAAAGGTTTAAAAACAAACTCAAAAGTATTAAATTTAAAAGTAAAGACCTTTTTTATTGATTTAAGCCCTAATTCATGGTTTTGTTGAATTAGTCCTTCATATAATACCCAAAATTCTCAAAAGTCAGTTTGGTAATTACTTAAAGGTTTAAAAAGGAACTCAAAAGTATTAAATTTAAAAGTAAAGACCTTTTTTTATTGATTTAAGCCCTAATTTATAGTTTTCTCAATTTTTTATCTTGTCCGCTAGTCTGCTAATATCTCCCAAACGCAACGAATATTTAATTTTTTTTACAAATACAATGAAAACTACATTTTTCTTCATAGCAGCAAATTCAAAGTTCAAATTGCAGGTTAATCATCCTTTTTGTTCCTCCATATAGAAAACTTTATTCTTTTAGACTCAAATTACTTGTGCTTGTAAATAACGCATAATAGATTATTTTGATTAGTTTTTTGTGGGGATGGAGCACACATATATATAGTTTTCTTCAATTTTTATGCAATTTTACTTGTTTATAAATATTAACTGTCATTATATTATTTTATAAAATATTAAAAATTAAATACCTATGGGGCTTACGCCCAGCGCCTCGGGGCTTATGCCCCGCTGGGGCATATGTAAAATGCCCCGCCTTATGCCCACGCCTTTTAAAACACTGGGTATGAAACCTCGGATTTTTGTGTCATGTGATTATTTTGGAGGTGATGCACATACTAGGTGACGGGCGTGTGAGCGTGCACCGAAGGGATTGTGACTTGGTCCGTCTCGTGAAACTGTAAAGTTGAATAACCTGTTGTTAGCTATAAGTTCTCTTTGTGTTGAAGAAATTTGACTGTAAAACATGTTAAAAATCATGATTATGCTATGTGATAGTAATATTGGGACCCACAGAGGTCGCGTACTTGTTGAATTATTTGTTAATTGTTGTCTTGTACTCAGTCATGATTTTACTTGTACATCATACCTCAGTCTTTTTTTATATTTGTTGATTTACTATGTTATCTTTGTTTGGGCTGATCTTTGTGATTTCCGAGAGCCCGAGAGACTAGAGAGGTTGAGGACTGAGTAAGGCCGAGGGCCTGTTGGTGAGGTAAGGATATATGGCACTCGAGTTGTCCGTGCAGGATATTATAGCACGTGAGTTATCCGTGCAACACGTGAGTTGTCCGTGCGGATTATGGCGTTTGGACTGTACGAGCCCCTCTGGAGTCTGTACACCCCCAGTGAGCGCGGGTACCCATTGAGTATGAATGCTGAGGGCTGAGAGTCGAGTGGTTGAGCCGTTGTGATGAGTTGAGTGACTGTCTCCTGAGAAGCTGTACTTGCTTTGCATTTGTTATTGCACTTGATTGCTATCTGTCATTGTTGTGAAATCTCTGAAAGATTTTATATCCGGATTACATGAAATTAAACTGTCTAAAATTGATTTGACTTAAACTGCCGGATTTGGAAGCATGTCTATTCTTTGCTGGAATTACTGAAAATTAACTGTAACTGTGTAGCTCGTCATTATCTTCAGTTCCTTAGTTATTATTGTTACTTGCTGAGTTGGTTGTACTCATACTACACCATGCACTTCGTGTGCAGATCCAGGTGTTCCCGGACATAGCGGGTGTTGATCATTTCATGCAGTTGATTTTCAGGAGATTTTGAGGTAGCTGCCGTGTTCCGCAGATCTTGTCTCTCCTTCTCTATCTCTTTGTTTACTGTATTTGGTCTCAGACTATTATAGACTATATTTTCCAGACTTGTATTCTTATTAGATGCTCNTTTCGCGCAGTTGATTTTCAGGAGATTTTGAGGTAGCTGCCGTGTTCCGCAGATCTTGTCTCTCCTTCTCTATCTCTTTGTTTACTGTATTTGGTCTCAGACTATTATAGACTATATTTTCCAGACTTGTATTCTTATTAGATGCTCATGTACTCAGTGACACCAGGTTTTGGGGAGTGTTTGTATTGTATTTAAATATTATATTTTCAACTTTAAAGAGAAGTTTTGGTTTATTGAGATTATCGGCTTGCCTAGTATTGAGATAGGCGCCATCACGACAGGTTGGGATTTTGGATCGTGACATAAGGTTTCAAATAGTGTATAGGTACAAAAAAAAAAAAAATCTCACTTTTAAATAGCATTTGGAATACGTTAAATTATGAAATGCATCACTGAAAATTATGCTTATTATATTATTTTTATCTACTGCTTCCTTTGCTTTAAATATTTATTTTTTGGTAGATGATCATTGATAATTTCTTCACATTAGTTCTAGTTAAAATTTACCTATACAGTTATGATATAAAAAATTAGAATATATTCATATATGACATGATAATTATTAGAAATGAAATAAGATTTCTCACTATTAAATGCATAATATTAGAGTGCAATCATATAGTTCATTATATATTTCATGTCATGTTATAACTAGAGATTTTTTAGTTACAATTATACCTTTTATTATTCCTTTATTTTGTAATAAAATCGAACAAGTATGTTCATAGTCCCACAACAAAGGAATGGAAAAAAAAAAATAATAAAAAATTGACGACTATTCAAGGTTTGATGAAATAATTCAATACGACAAAATCCTTCCGGTTAAGAAATGCAGATTTTTACATAGTAAAATAGCTATAGAAAACATGTATACCTATTTATTTTTCGATAATAAATGTTTATATAATTTTACATATTTTATCAGTTTTGGCCAATTTGATTTATCTAACTATTTAGTAAAAATGTGTAGAAAAAGATACATGTGTAAAAATATATATTATATTTTAAATTAATAATTATTTAAGAAAAATATGTATACATGTGTAATAATTAATTTGCACGAGAGATTTCATGCAAATTTTGAATTAAGATAAACTTTGGGAGGGAAGGGTAAAAATGGCATTGACTTCGTATAAATGACCTAGATACCCGTGTGAATTTACTGTGCTACCCCATTTGGGTCATTGTGGCCAAAATCAGTGTGGTAGAAATACCTTTTCGTAGGATTTAATGGTGTACCACGAAAATAAAAAGAATATTATTAACATTAACTTTACAATCTAGCTGTACTAATTTTTGTTTTAAGTGATGTTATCCTCGTCTAGATGTCAGTAGGTCAATTAATAAGATGAAATAGAGAAGTAATACCCCAATAATCTGTGATGGGAGGTGATATTGCCAAATCCCAAATAGATTCATCAGATATGTTCTTATTTTGACCTCTTAAGTCTAACGTACCTAATTCTATAAAGAAGAGAAAGCAAATTGAGTTCAGAAACCACAAATTAGATAAGGATAATTATCCGAACAGGGGGAAAATGTGAAATTATGACAATAAGATGGTTTAATATCTAGAAGTTTTTGGAAACTTTAAGTACGTCACATGAAACAAAGCTGTTTACTAAAAGTTGAGAGAAATATGGAGTATAATCTTTTGGTCCAGACTTTAAAAATGAATCTAAACTTCCGCAATTTAAGACTCAGATACAACATTTTTCAAAAAATAAAACACTTTACCACGTATGCAAAAGTGACCGGACGTATAATGGATTATAAAGAAAAAGGTTATGCACATCCTGTCCTTCACCAAATCCGTGAATATATGATATGTTTACATATAATTTTATCACTTAATTTTGCTTAAACTTAAATGTATCACTCAACTATAGGATGACAGACCTTTTGCTTGGTGGACTAAAACAACAATGCACCAGTGGTCTAGTGGTAGAATACTACCCTGCCACGGTACAGACCTGGGTTCGATTCCCGGCTGGTGCGCATCACGGAGATTTTTTTATTTTTGCAGGTAATTCACTCACCAAGATAAGAAGATTTAAAAACTTCTAAATCACTCAATGACCTGAGAAATTAGGAGGTATCATACAAAGAATGTTTAGTATGATTTCTTCCTTTTTGTTCTTTTTTCCCCCAGAAATATTCAGTTGTTCACATGGTTTACCTTTGTGTACGCCTCCAATAAAGTCTTAAATTGTGCCAGGTGCAGTAAAGTTTTATATAGTCTGAGAAACCTGAGAATCTAAGAGCAACAAATTTGTACAAGTAAACCTACTCTTCAAATATATTGAGTTTCCAGCCTCATTTGCTACACTAATCGAAGAGCTGCATCTGTTTTCCACACGTCTGTCCATGATTGCATCCATTTTTAGCAGCTATTATACAAAATGAAAGTAAACCTAAGACGCGAGTATCTCCTACTAGTACAAACAAGATAGTAGGAAGGCGAAAGAACAGGAAGAAGACTAACATGCCAAGCCATGAAGAGAATTGTCCCAACAGGATAGGATCCTTGGGACAAACATTCTTGTGGCAAACTTCAGCAGCAATATCTATGCCTTGGATGAAACGATGAATGAATTTTCATGATACATGGATCATGATACAGTGCTGCTTCCCGATTGTGATCGTGAATGTAAACAGTGTCTTACAGTTGAGAAGATGAGAGAAGGCTCCGCCATTGCTCCATTTCCATAATCTCCACAGGCTAGCCTCTTTGGTACCGGTGGTATAAGAGAGATGCCAAGCTCATCAATTATCATAAGGTGCCGCTCGGTGAATGGGTTATTCCACATAAATGTATTCATGGCTGGTGCCACAAAGAGGGGTTTATCATAGTCCCATGCTCGCACAATGCAGGTCAGCAAGTTATTACACAATCCACCAGCAATCTACAACACAAAAACAAATGTGAATATATGTGTGCCAAAGAAAAAAAGGAGTAAGCTAATAACCCCAAACAACTGTATAACCAGGAGATACTGATTTCATCAAATATTTTATTTTAATGTCATACAGTTCGGGATGTCTATTTTAAATGATTTTCTTTTATAACCATGGTGTTTAGGCAAGCTTGAGCACACCTCGACTAATTCCACAGGCTTGAACATATGGGAAGAAATCACCAAGGGTTTTTGCCTCCGCTAGCATTTAATCCTGAGACCTTGTGGTTCTCAACCCATTTCATTGACCACCTAAGTTGCTTGGACACGGGTGCGGGTGTTCGACACAGGTGTGGATCTAGAGGTCGGATCCTTTGAAATGTAAATTCTAAGATTCGGGGATACGGATTCTAGTACGGACCCCGAGTGTGGGGATCCGGCTAAAAATAATTCAAAATAAAATAAAAATATAAAAATATTTCTAAATTATGAGAAATTTTATGGAATACTTACATATGGCTTGTAAAGTGTGAATTTCTTTTTTATTCTCAAGTTGTAGATAAGTATACGATTGATTTTCTAAATACGGTATGCTATTTTCTTCAAATTTACACTTGTTTTGGTTCTGATTTCGGGAATTAAATTGTATCTTGTCTCGAATTTTTCCGTCCATCATGGTCAAAGTACCCAAAATTGTTTGACCAGATCCGGTACGGATCCCATACTCACACCCATACTAGTGTTGTGTCGACACGGGTGCGGCACCTAAACTGTCGTGTCAGAGCAACTTAGTTGACCACTAGGCCACACCCTTAGGTGTGTCTGTTTTAAATGAATTTCCAGTCTTGTCACTAGAGTTTTCCAGTTTCAGGATTTCTCATGGGCACACGAGTATTCAGAGAACCAAATTCCATGCTAACAAATAAGTGACCGTTCCTCAGTCAATTATAGTCATTTTTGAACATTTAAGTTCATTCTGAACATTTATCTGAACTTAGTAATACAACTACTGTTAATAGTATAAGGAAATGAAATTTGTTTCCTGCAGTGGAACGTATCCAATATCATGAATAAATTTTATGAATAAAAAAATATAAAGAGATATCACCTTTCCAAGCGTATTTGCTGACAGAGGGGCAATAACCATGATATCAGCCCATCTACGGAGCTCAATGTGTAGCACGCTATCACCTACTTTCTTCCAAGTGGACCATTCATCGTCATCAGTATAAAGGACGACATCTTTTGGAAATGACACTTTGTCTATGAAATGAAGAGAAGCTTTTGTTGCAACTGCTTTGACTTCTGCCCATTTAGAAAAGCAATGACATAGATTTGCAAACTTGATTGTTGCCACGCTTCCACTTGCAGCTAGCAGAATCCGAGGTTTCCGTGAAGCATTGTTAACTTGAATTGGTTCGACCTCTGAAGTTATAGGCTCCATCTGTCTTACAAAATGCGAAACTTCGAATGACTTTTAAATTTGTATTAAGAGAAAGACACCTAAGAGAGATATCAGCAGCAGATAAGACAGAGATCACTAGCATAATTTAACAACCTTATAAATCTATATTTCCATTCATTCGAGATCTCTCTTTCCATTTTTAATAGGGTTGATTATGATGCTGTGACTCCCTATAAGTACTCATATTTGCAAACAAAAACTCCATCCACAACAACAAGAAAAAGGACAGCTCTCTCCCTTTATGCAGAGATCCAAATCAAGTAATATTCAGGAGAGAAATAATATCTCAAAGAACCAACTTTGCATACTAAAGCACCCCTTTTTTTTATCAAAATGAAGGAAAGATTTACGTAGGACATAGTCAAACTTGCCTTCTATTATCACAAAGCAGAATTTTTAATTCTTCTGCATTAATACCTCCGATGGTTCACTTCAAAGTTCAAACGTCAATGGATACATAAATGAAATCCCATCCATGGTTTAGTACCACAACCCAAACTCCAACAAAAATAGAAGGTAAAGTAGAGTCTAAATTTCACGTATAATATCTGAATTTTACCCACTATCCCATTAATGCCACTTCGATCCAAATTTTTGTTTTATACTTAGACCTAGTGCATGCACCAAATTATGTTAATTTACCATGGTATGATTAATTGATAAATTGAAGTAAAATTATACTTATTAAGTAACTAGATTAAATGATAAGACCTTATGTATAAGACTTATGGCATGAACTTATTCATTTGATGCATGCAGCGAGAATTCACAATCCATCTAGAATTATAACAATATATATAATTCACAAAGAAAAAATTAAGCACCATTCAGCCCTTAAAACAGAAAAAAAAATAGACTCAAAAAGTTTAAGGGAATCAGCTTGAATTTTACTTTCATAAAACGGAAACAGAAAATACTGGGGAAAAAAACGCATAAGAGAATAAGATAAAAGAGTAGTAAACTTACATTATCGACCACAGATTCAAGTAGGACGTGCTTGGACACAAAAATCGAAGTGCAAAATGTGGGAACAACAGCCCTAGCAACTACAAGGGTGTAAGTATATATGCCCAAAACGAAATCCAAAGTCAGTACTGTGTTTACTTCCGCGGAGCTGAGAAACCCGAATAGGAAGTCGGGCTCCGATCAATTTTGTAGTGTGAGAAGGGCGGGATAAACCATTTGCGCCATTTGTGCTTTATAGCTTTTTCCCTGTGAGAATTGCGACTTGAAGAAGGAAAAAGCTAGTATATGCTTCGGCAGCAAAAGCCAATTGTTGGACTCTATTTTGGGCCTCCATCTTTTGACCCAACAGTGAATCATTAAGAACCTCTTAGAAGATTTGCGCAAATTGGATCTATCGGTGCCACCATTTAAATTTTGACCCAGTTAAAAAAAACCTTTATAAAATAACCTCCACATCAGAATTTGGTAGTATGCTCCCGGTGATGGCCACCACCAAAACATTTTCGCATTGTGATTTGAAATTCTGGTGATCCTTAGAATTTTTTATGCTTCAAAAGGCAGGTTTATTTTTCCAAAACTTTTTTTAACAAGGTCAAAATATAAATGATGGTCCTAAATATATCCATCCAGCATAATTTCACCCCTCTTATTCATAGTAAAATTTTGATTCATAAACTTTTATTTTTATTTACGAGTTCAAACATTGTATAACCTAAAACAGCCCATCTAAAAGGCTTGATCAAGGTCTACATTATTAGTACGATTCATTTCATAGGAGAGTTTTGTCAAAATTTAGAAGAAAAAATAACAAAACAAATATAGTAGTTTTTGCGTCAGGATATATTTATTCTTTAGTGAACAAAATATCAATTCTTTTAACAATTCAATTATATAGTTGGAGATTTAAAAAGAAAAAAAGAAAAACATATAACAATGGTTTTGAGCTGGACGAGTTGAGTTATGACCTGCTCTTCAACTCATTTTGACCCAAGGAAACTAGTAAATACTGCATCGATGACCCGTTTATAGACACCAATCTGATACGTAATACCGAATCAAATACCGGCTAAAAAGCAATGACTTGACTGAAAACAGATTCAAGATCATTGTAAAAGTGACCTGTTAGACTTAATGCATTGAAGCAAACAATAAAACCCAAATCTTGACTCATTATCCGGAAAGCATACAGTACAAGTCTATTGTGCTGGTAAAACGCCATCCAAAGATTAATGTATACTAAGTGCAAACTCAGTAGAGCTGCAAACACTACTCTCCATCTCAAGATTAATGTATAATAAGTGCAAACTCAGTAGAGTTGCAAACACTCGACTTACTGTAAAGATAAATTATTCACTCTGTTCATCACGACTTAGGTTGTAAAAAGTTGCAGTAAATAAGAAATTGAACAACAAATGCGAGTTAAGAAACTGATCAAGATTAAGGAATAATCTTAGGACAATGATGACGAAGATGCATAATAAAATGGTGAACTAATGATTGGGGCATATGTAAACCATTTTTCTCTCATCGTCTTCCAGATGCCACTGATTCAGTAGAGAAGAGGTACTTCACTCGTGAAAGAACAGAGTCATGAGCAGGATCATATGGATGGTCCTTTGAAGGGATCTCCAGAATGGCTGGAATTGGTTTATTGTAGCTATCAACCAAGAATCTGATCATGTTTGCAACCTGAATATGAAAAACCAGTGGATATAATTAGCTGAAAATTTGGTGCAAAATGGGTGTACAACTCATATTGTACTCGAAGTGTCTATGAGAGCTACTAAAATAGAGGCAAAAGAGTGCAGCTGGTTTCCCTGAAGGGACGCAGAAGCACAACATAGAAATTGTTAATATTTGGAGAAAACAACAACAATTAAATTTCAAAATGGTTGAATTGAACCTAGAAGTCTCATGTTCAAATCCTAGCATAGGAAAAAACACTAGGTGATTTTTTTCCATCTAGCCAAGCCTCGGTGAATAGTGTTGCCCGATATCTATGCTAGTGGGAAGTAGCAGGTATACCATGGAACTAATCGAGGTGCGCGCAAGCTGGTCCAGACACCATAGTTATAAAAAAAGTTGAATTGATTATTGTCACTAGAATGCACGATAGTAGTTATAGGTCGTACATTTTGAAATACGTTACTGGAGTCAATAGCAATAAGCAAATACTGAAATGTTTTGACCGCAAAAACCAAATCCTTAGCCACTTTTACAATGGAAAGTGTTTATACTTTATCCCAAATCGTTTGGTGCAGCTAACAGGTAATTTATGTTCTCATTATTGTCGACAATCTCATATTAGACAAATGGTCCTCCTCTTTCCTCACTTTCCTCCAGCCTTCCACCTCTCGTGCCAGCCAGTGGTATTGGTAATTGCAGTCATGGTATTTGGCATAAATGGTAATGACTCCTCAATTTTGGATTTTAGAAGCCATTCAAGGTTGACTTTGCAAATGCAAGTATACCAGGTAGGGGCATTATGTCGGTTTGAATTATCATCGTCTGTCATCTCCCCATTATGCTTTTACATCTTCTTTGTCCTCGGTTTCCATCCCTAAGTCTACACGTGAAGTGTTGTCTCATCCAGGATGGCAACAGGCTATGAGTGACGAGATGTCTGCTTTACATACAAGTGGTATTTGGGAGCTTGTTCCTCTTCCCTCAGGTAAATCTACTGTTGGTTGTCGTTGGGTTTATGCAGTCAAAGTTAGTCCCGATGGCCAGATTGATCGACTTAAGGCCCGTCTTGTTGCCAAAGGATATACTCAGATATTTGGGCTCGATTACAGTGATACCTTCTCTTCCGTGGCTAAAGTGGCTTCAGTCCGCCTTTTTCTATCCATGGCTGCGGTTCGTCATTGGCCCCTCTATCAGCTAGACATTAAGAATGCATTTCTTCACGATGATCTTGAGGATGATGTTTATATGGAGAAACCACCTGGTTTTGTTGCTCAGGGGGAGTCTCGTGGCCTTGTATGTCGCTTGCGTCGGTCACTTTATGGTCTAAAGCAGTCTCCTCGAGCCTGGTTTGGTAAGTTCAGCACGGTTATCCAGGAGTTTGGCATGACTCGTAGTGAAGCTGATCACTCTGTGTTTTATCGGCACTCTGCTTCAAGTCTCTGTATTTATCTGGTAGTCTACGTTGATGATATTGTTATTACTGGCAATGATCAGGATGGTATTACTAATCTGAAGCAGCATCTCTTCCAGCACTTCCAAACTAAGGATCTAGGCAGACTGAAGTACTTTCTAGGTATTGAGGTTTCCTAGTCTAGTTCAGGTATTGTTATTTCTCAAAGAAAATATGCTTTAGACATTCTTGAGAAGACAGGGATGATAGGTTGCAGACCTGTTGACACTCCGATGGATCCGAATTCAAAACTTCTGCCAGGACAGGGGGAGCCGCTTAGCGATCCTGCAAGCTATAGGTGGCTGGTTGGAAAATTAAATTATCTCACAGTGACTAGACCCGACATTTCTTATCCTGTGAGTGTTGTAAGTCAGTTTATGAATTCTCCTTGTGATAGTCATTAGGATGCAGTTGTCCGCATTATTCGGTATATAAAATCGGCTCCATGTAAAGGGTTACTATTTGAGGATCGAGGTCATGAGCAGATCGTTGGATACTCAGATGCTGATTGGGCAAGATCGCCTTCTGATAGACGTTCTACGTCTGGATATTGTGTTTTAGTAGGAGGAAATTTGGTGTCCTGGAAGAGCAAGAAACAGAATGTAGTTGCTCGGTCTAGTGCAGAAGCAGAATATCGAGCAATGGCTATGGCAACATGTGAGCTAGTCTGGACCAAACAATTGCTCAAGGAGTTGAAATTTGGTGAAATCAGTCGGATGGAACTTGTGTGCGATAATCAAGCTGCCCTTCATATTGCATCAAATCCGGTGTTCCATGAGAGAACTAAACACATTGAGATTGATTGTCACTTCGTCAGAGAAAAGATACTTTCAGGAGAGATTGCTACAAAGTTTGTGAGGTCGAATGATCAACTTGCAGATATTTTCACCAAGTCTCTCACTGGTCCTCGTATTGGTTATATATGTAACAAGCTCGGTACATATGATTTGTATGCACCGTCTTGAGGGGGAGTGTTAGTTTACAGCTATGTATAGTGTAGTCTTGTCCCACATTGGAATAAGAGTAGTATGTCCTTGTATATTATAGCTATAAATAAAAACTTCTTGTATTGTATTGTACATCCAATATCAATAACATATTTTCTCCCGTACTTTCTCACATACGTTACTGGAGTCAATAGCAATAAGCAAATACTGAAATGTATTGACTGCAAAAACCAAATCCTAAGCCACTTTTACAATGGAAAATGTTTATACTTTATCCCAAGTCGTTTGGTGCAGCTAACAGGTAATTTATGTTCTCATTATTGTCGACAATCTCATATTAGACAAATGGTCCTCCTCTTTCCTCACTTTACTCCAGCCTTCCACCTCTCGTGCCAGCCAATGGTATTGGTAATTGCAGTCATGGTAGTTGGCATAAATGGTAATGACTCCTCAATTTTGGATTTTAGAAGCCATTCAAGGTTGACTTTGCAAATGCAAGTATACCAGGTAGGGGTGGCCCGGGCGGGCCGGATCGAGTATGGACGAGACGAAAACAGGTAATGCAAAAACGGATAAATTATCCGACCCGACTCATATTTAATACGGATAACCATGGGCTAACCGGCGGATTATATGGATATCCATATTATCCGTGGCTTCTTGAATATGACCACTTTTGGGAGAATTCCTAGTCTCCTAAACCTGAGGAACCCCCAAATTCGAGGCTTTACAAATGTAAAAGTTAAATCTATTAGTTATCCATTGGTTATCCATTTTCTATGTGAATAATATGGTTCTTATTCATATTTGACCCGTTTTTTAAAAGTTCATTATCCAACCCATTTTTTAATGGATAATATGGGTGGAAAACTGTTTTCTTTTAACCATTTTGCCACCACTAATACCAAGCAAGGGGGGAACTGCCACATAAAGATTAAATATGAAGCCTAACTTCCTATATCACACACTGATTACAATTCATTGCCCACTTATCAGGTTTCTCAAATCAAGCTACCTTTGGGTCTATGACAGTGGAAGTTTTGCCCTGTGACGAGGTACTTCACAATTTCATAGCTAGCCTATCATGCCCCTCCAATATGCACTAACATGATAATTACTGTTCAAAACTCTCCACGAGAAAGTTATAGCCAGCAGCTGAAATGATGCTATGTACACTGTGATAAAACAAGGGGCAAAATAGAATAAAAACTTACATATTGGCTGATTAACACTATTGCAATGTCTTCCCTTGTGGTGAATTCTTTAAAAGCATCTTCAATCTGCTTCACCGTTGTTTCTATACCATAAGAAAGGAAAATATACATTACAGTCTTTCTAAAAAATAAATAAAAGTGAGACAAAATAAAAAAGCTCCATCACTGACAAGGACTTAACAATCCTAATCAAGCAATCTTGATTGTCTTTATTTCATAGTTTCTTCAGTTATTAAATCAAAATATTAGGAAATCAGAGAACCACAAGTTGAAAACCTACTTGAATCCACAATAAGATAGTTAGTTTTCCTCCTCAAATCGACATTGCCAACTCCGGCCAGTAAAAATCCAGTGATTGTATCCTACATTAACAAGTTATTTCCATCAGAATGAATGTCTATTTATCTCAATATATTTAAAATGTACATTAAGCATTAAATCATGAAAAAGACTTCACAATGACAAGCAGACAGTAATTTCTGCTGCAGTGTATTTAATACTGCAAATTAAGAATATCACAAATAGAACCCCATTTCACATAGCTTTGCCTTTAACAAGTTAGCAAGCTACACTACTGAAAATATGAATTTTAAATTCCAACTCCTCCACGATGGCCAAAAAATAAAAGAAATAGACTTGTGGAGAAGGGGTCCAACAGTATACTTGATAACTCCACTTTTGTAGTACATAAGAATCAGAAACAATGTTTAAGAGAACATATTCAAGTTATTCACCATCATTTACTATTATGAATCC